CTGAATGCTTTGTATTCTGCCAGATGTACTATGCCAAGCCGTGCTGAAGTTGATAAACATTACTAATTACTAAATCAATCCTACACCATATAAATACATGGATTCGCGTTCGAACGTATTCGAAGACAAGGCGTGGATACTTGATACTGATCGAAGCGATCGCAAGTGAACCGTAAATACTTAAGTGCGTAGTTCCTTTCGGGTTGGTCGGTGTGGCGCGTCGAATTTCATGACCGGAGCCTAATTAAGATACGAACGGGTTACGAGTAGGTGTCATCCAACGAGTGTCATCTTTATTGGATTCGATCTCTTGCCACAACTCAGCCAACACTGTTGCCATGTTTCTCCGCAAAATGTCTATGTCAAAGGATTGTGAAGAACGCTTGTGGAATAAGAGTAACTCTTATGTGTTTGAAATTGCTTGAATACCTAACGGCTATTCTTATTTTCTTGAGTAAATCTATAGGCGCTAATACTGCAACCATTAATGCAATTTCTTCGTGTATAATTAGCTAAAGTAATAATGTATATCTAAACTGATATCAAGGATTTTGTCTTATAAAAATGGGCATTCAACGACGTGATCGTCTTTGTCCTTCATAACTAGGCACTTCTGCAGTTCCACCTGCCTGATATTTTTGTCGTCTATCATGCTCTGTTGCAGAAAATATATATTCTACAGTTTTTGACATTCTAAATTGTTTAGTAATGAAGAGAATGGTTGTTATTTTCCCATAATACGGAAAGTAATTATCTCATTAGTAACAATAGTCGATAATGTGTAAAAAGCAATTTCGGAACGAATATTATCCAACGTATTGTCGTCAAAGGAATGCTTCTAGAACAATTAGCAGTAGTTAACGTCAGTCATGAACGCGCCATTAAGAGATAAGGAGGGCGAGAAGTAGAGAACTACTTTCAATGTCAAAAATAATATATGACCTATAGTTTATTCACTGAACCAAAGCAGTTACGTCATATTTAGTAAATTTGAATGCCAACCCTTAATGCAAAGTAGATCCTCAATTGGTACGTATAGTTTGAATTTGCCGGGTACATTTATGTTGGTAACAGTTTTCTGTGTTGCGACAGTGTTGCAAAGCTTGTCAGTTAATTAGGCCAATGGCTGTTGTTTATTTGTCATTGATTTTCGTTATTTTTGTCTCAATATTTGCATTTTTATTTTATGAAAACAGTTTTTTTTCAAAACATTTTGGAGTTCTTTTAAGCATTTTGCTAAAATGTCGAAACCGCTGGGTCGACAAGCAAAATAATTCGTCATTTCTTTGACGGAATATTTTGAGACCGAACTAGATCAAGGAGCTCCATTATTGATTTAACATACGCTCCGTAATGCATCGAAGACATAAAGTAGATTTTGTAAAACGTCTTAGGATCTAGTAGTTTTAATTAATGTGGCAACCATGTGCGTCACTGTCATTATTTGACATTGTGACGTAACTGCTTTGATTCAGTGAATAAACTATAGAATTATTGTAGTGACCATGGCGATAGGACACGCGGTTAATTGTAAAACGAGCACTTTGAAAAATTGCATGTTTTGTTATAATGAAAAAGTTTATCAACTCACAGAAGGGTCCAACCAAGGCTTGATCATCGGCCAAAAAATACACCTTCGGTCAGAAAAGGCCAAAGGTTTTGAAAAACCTGTACCAGCGACATACGAGCCCCTTCCCACATCAGTTGAGATCTTCAAGGACGCCTAATTCTCACGATATGTCTCTTCAATGACGCGTTTGCGCACAGCATCGACGTTTTCCTGGATGACTGCCCTGTTTGGTGCACCCACCCTGGGATCGTCGCCAAGACTTACCCGTTCACGTTTGAATTCTTCATACCAACAAGAAATTGTAGACTGATGTGACGCTTCGTTGCCGAAAACAGACAGTAACTCAGCAAGGCATTCTTGTTGCGATAATTGTCTCTGAAAGTTGTAATAAATTATGGCGCGAAAATGTTCTCGGTTGAGTTCCATTTTTCTAATGACTTGGTGACACTTAACACTTCACTGTAGTGAGAACGCTGCACGTATTGTTGTGAAACATTGAATTTAAGTTTACTAAAGAGTGAGGTTAAGATTCAGTACTGACGTTCGATCCGCGCGGCCTACTATGTTTCTATATGCAAAACTTAAAAGACATCCCTCGTATACCAGACTTCACCGAGACATCACCTTTTAGATTCAAGATCACATTTACGCCCCCTGGCCAGAAACTTGAAAATATTTTCTAGGTTTTTCTCCTAGCCACTTTAGTTATAACTATATTTGCCGCAAGCCTCTACGATGTACAGGGTACATATCAAGAAATCAAACACAAAATTCCTGCCGCTACTAATATCACGATCTGAAACGGTCTTACCATACAGGCACTGATGCCTCGACATGGGAGGTATCTATCCGTATTGTGTAACATCTTGATACTGCAGCGGTATCATGAAAGTACCAACTGCAGTGGCGCAGTTTCGACGGTTAGAACATTGTATAGGAGAAAGTCACTATCGGTGCACTTGTGGAATGCGGAATGGTTAATTTATGTATACAGGATGAATCTAGTCTAGACTTCTCCATGCGATTTTCTAGCATTAAGTACTTCAAGCAATTTACAAATGTACTTAGTGACATTAGAAGTGTTACACCCCGAAGAAATAATTTCTTCATCTTGATTTTTTGGCAATGAGGTAGACTTACATCAATAATGAAACGATCAGGAACGACTTTCTTCACAAAAACTAAGAGATAACATTTCAGCAAATGTAAACAAAAACAAAGATAAAACGTTGACGTTGTTGTCACAGCATGCTTTAAACCATTATTATGTTGCTAGAAAAACAAAATTACAAGTAACAAAGTTCAACCGACGAGCCAAAGTCATAAGTCGGAATTGCTAGTAAATGCGAATTACTACAAGAAATAAAATGTGAGGCCGCATGACGTGTCCCATTACCTCCATTCAAACATACGAGGTCTGTCAATTAAGTGATAAGACTGATTTTTTTTATTCAAATATAATTACGATTTTATCAGCTAAACGCGGAAATTTAGTAATTTGTAGCTGAAAGATTGTTAAAAATATTCAAAACCGATGACATTTCAAAAATAACCGAAAATTGCCATTTTTCGAAAAGTTTTTCACCAATCCCCTAATTATTTATAAAATCACCAGACCTGGCAACACTAACCACATGTTCCCCTGTCTCCTCTTTGCTCCCGGCACCTCCAGTGTTGCCAGATCGAACGTTACGTTGCCAGTCTCGTCACTTAATTTACAGACCTCGTATACACTATCCGTTTGCAGCTTCTGTACTTTATTCTTAAAATTACTAGTAACAAAGATCAAGCGACAAGCCAAGTAAGCTAGTAAATGCAAATTACTGCAAGAAATAAAATGTGAGGCTGAATGACGTGTCCTCCATTTAAGCATATTGTTATGGTGCTAATGTTAGCGTCGCTCTGTTAACGAATGGTTATGTTTACGTTTATTCTTAGCTTCTAAAGAACTTATATTTTTAGACTGATTTTAAGCCGTTGATGGATTTTTCGTAGACTCGTGCTGGTGCAATAGGACACATACTGTTCTCGTTCGTGGCAAAACTAGTTCTAAATAAAGGTTGCGTTCTATCAACTACAACTTTTTTCACATAGAATATGTAATCTCAACGATAATGTACGTTCAAAATGAAAACCGGAAATGTATCAGATTTTGATAAAACAAATACCTACATTTTATTGAAAAAATGTATTGACGTATATTGGCTCGGTATTTTGACTTTACGCATATAAAACGCCAACAAAAAAAATAAAACCCTTATGGAACACGGCTTTCGACTATTTTTCGTGTAAATAATGAATCGGTTGTTAAATCTAGTAAAACTTGTTTTACTTGTTTTTGTTTTGTTTGAATTTTGAGATATTATCAGATAATCAGCTGTCATTCTACCGCGATCGCAATCAGTTTTGTTCAGAATAAGCTTAAATCAGTCGTCTATTAGTAATTCATTTTATTTCTCATGTATGTTTGATATACCGCAACGCACCTATCCGATCGGTGCCAAATCTTTTATTGTTGGGTTACGAAATCCTAGATCGATGTGTTTTTTTTTCTTGATTGACGTAATAGTAAACACACGGAATATTTGCATACAGGAAAACATAAATATCACTGAAATACTATAAATACTATTGCGTAAGAAACAGGTCAAAAATAACTTTTATTTTTATTTCATTCATATCCCGATTATACAGCTTTCAAGCACTTTGTTCCAGAATGTGTGCGTATTCAGGTATAAATAATTATATTTTTTTTATTATGGAATATCATTATTATTATTTTATAATATTATAAGTTTATTGAATACGCTCCATAATATTAAAATTCTACTGGTTTGTCATACCCAAAATCGCGGTACTTAATTTATAATGAAAAGTTGTTGGAAAAGACAAAGGGATATCGACGATATTAAGCGTCGCAAAATTAACGTGTGCGTATTTGTGCTACTATAATTATATTAAGTGACATATATAATGCAACATCTAGCATTATTTACTGAATTTTGATAATGTGACATTTGTCTGGATGTCTTTTCACCATACAGAAATATATTTTGATGGAAATTATGTCAAGATCATCAACTACCAGACGCAACATCAAAAATAACCGCACAAAAATGAGACGGGCATATTTTATACTGTACCTGTCAGCGTTCTTGACACATTTACCTAATTCCTAACCCAATAATAGCTTGGTTTCTCCAGCGGGATGCAAAGAAAAATAGTACCCCAGAAAAAGTATATCGGAGAATAGAAATTTTGGAAGCATTGATCAAAATTTCAGTTTCTAAAGAAATCACGTCATGATTATAGCAAGGGCCAAGGTTTCGAGAGGATTTATAAACAAAAGCCCACGGGAGTTGTGAGGAGGCGATTAACCTTTTTTTGTTTTGTCAGCAGCGATTTTAATTGTGGTTTTCTTTTGTTGCAGATGTTTCTGGGGTTGCTGTTTGATCCCGTGTTGTATGGAAAAATGCATGGATGTAGAACACACCTGTCCGAGCTGCGGCACAGAATTAGGCACCTACAAACGATAGAAGGCGTCATCAGCATATCACCGTATGAGATCATCCATTGTTAACAAACTTTAATCGACGATGTAAAATAGAATTCGCGCATAGGTGAAATTGGGTATTATCTCAAACCACATTGAATAATTTGGTGTGTAAAAACAGTGTTTTAACGAGAGTGTTTGATCATATAAGTCGTTTCGGTGTACTCAAGAAACTTTCATTCAAATTGTATCACGATTGTACGAACTTACCTGTAAGTGATGTACGATTGTACGATCTTAATCATGGAAGGCCTCGTCGAAGTAAAAAGCTCCCTCTCTCCCATGTATCACCCAGCTGTTGCAACAAATACGCTTTGAAGAAAATGAGTTTGGCCGAGAAACGGGGTACTACACCTGTTCAATTTACGAGACGAGGCCGGAACATAATATAGATATTCTGATCACTGGGATCGTTAACTACTTACCCCCGCACAAAAAGTGCCGAATATATTTGATTCGGCGGGACATTTCGTATAAAATGTCTCTAATAAATGAATCATAAATAATTTAGAAATGTATGCAAATATTGTATAAAACCAATTACACCCGCTAAGTACGAGGGTCATTTTTTAAGTAAGAGCCGTTTTGTAATGGAGTCAGAGAAGCTTTATTTATGAACATATCACAAACTAGAATATGAACATTTTTTTAATTTTCAACAGCACAATGAATATTTAAACATTTGACAAGTCATAGCACCAACTTTTGAATCTCGTCGTCAAAGAACGCTGGAGCCTGACCGTTAAGCCAGCAAAAAACTGTTTATTTCAACATATCATTTTCCAAGCGCTATCCGCCAAGAAATTTCCTTATGTTTGGAAAAATATTAAAGTCGGGGCTGTGTGGTGGATGAACCAGTGATTCCCAACGAAACTGATCCAGTTCTTGCCGCAACGTAAGGCCGAGCGTTGCCGTGAAGCGGAACAGCGATTTAAAATCGTGGCAACCCTGTGAGACTCTGGCCAAGGGTATCTGAGGTTGAAAAGACGATACGTGGCAAGATACGCAATAGGTTCTTACTTTAAAAATGGCACTTGTAAATCACAACCAACTAATAAGTATGCATAACATATAGTTTAACTGATTGTTAGTTGTTTTATTTTTAATATTTCACCACTATATTTATTGTGTTCAGCGTTATAGGAATCTAGTGCGATTAATACCAACATTACAAAAATCCCGCAATTTTGAAAAATCAGACAAACTGACAACGTAAGTTTACAAATATTATAGCATTCGTGGGATCGACTGAATTAAATGTATGTTCAACTGTCCATAAATTCCAATGATGAGGCTGTTGCTCATGAAAAAAATACATCAAATTCAACTGAGAATTGTGTCTTGGTCTACCATTGTCTATAAGGTTTTATCATTTACAACGTTTCTCTCTTCAGAAAAATCAAGAAACAGAGAGTTGCTTATTCTGGAACGCGTCGAATAACCATTTTTTTCTTAATTGGGATTTTCAAATGCTTTAAAGGTCTATTTTTGTGCATTTATCATAAATTACCGAAAAACTCGAGCTAGTTTAATATTTTAATGTAAAAAGGTGGATAATGGTGTATCCATAGCTATAGACATTATGATTATAATTGACGTGCGCATTAAAAATAGAACAACACAAGGATGAGTTTGTATATCTGTTAGTCTTTATGTACAGTCGTGTAGTAACACCTAGATATAGTTTTTCAATGTTGCTATTGTTTTTAATAAAGTTTATTTTTGTATTAGTTGTAATTAAATAAAATGTTTTATATATTTCAGTATCCATTATTACAATGCCTGCAAATCACTTTAACCATTCTTTAGAATAATATCTACAAAAGCTTCAGGATATGAAAAAAGAAACTGAAATGACCTCATTCTGTTGTTGTTATTAACAAGTTTCCGGTTTACTGTCAAAATAATGGTTGCTGTAAAGATTTATCAGTTTGATCAACTTTTGTAGATTTTTTCAATGATGTTTCACATATTTCTCTGTTGTTCATCTTCACCAGCAGGCAGGTATTGCCAAAAGCTCGTTGATAAATAAAAAAAATCGACTCATTCATCCTGAAGCTTTACAATAAAAATGACGTGTTGCTCCGTCATTCTAAAAGCATCATCAGGCATCAATTGGATAGTCTGACAGTGGTCCTGAAACTAAAGGCAAAATGTTTACATTTTCGTTGTTTGGCAGCGTGATACAAACTGTCAACGTCAATGTAAAAGATCAAAAAACAGGTTAGGTTTTTATCGTCGCGTTCCCGCGCAGATTTACCAAAGCAGTTCGGCATGGATGTCACGTAAAAAACCTATAAAACGTCAAAAAAAACTTTTAGAAGTCATCTTGAGAACTAGGTAGTTTTTAGGGCGCAAACAGTCATTTTCCACGTTTGCTCACTAGGATCGTTGTGAACGTCCATCTAGGGAGGAATCACTCAACTAAACTACACGCATTATTGGTTGCATATGTTGTGTGAGGCCAAATGGTCCTTGTCTGTAGTTTTTATCTCTGAGAGTAAAGGCGGTTGAATAGCAAGATCGCATCTGGATGATTATATGTACTGGTCTGGATGTGTATAAAATCAGTGATATTTGCTGTGTGAGAAAATCATTACTGAATAATGAAGTATATCTATTGGCTGTGCCCGACGTGTTATTTTTATGTTGTGCTTTCTGAAGAGAGGTTATGTTGAAAGTTATCAATTACGACAAACTGAGGAGAATTACGGGAAATCATCACCGCGCCCGCGTGTAATTACTGTTAGCATTAATATGGCTTGTAATTCGACAGCGAACAGTGAATATAATTAATTCTTATCTCTCATTTTTGAAATTCAGCAAATTTGTATATGTAATTTCCAGAATGGATAATAAAAAGTGAATGGGCAACTAATTTCTAGCTTTGAATCTCAATTAAGTGTATTTGAGACAAGAACCCAATGTAATTATCATCAACACATACAACTTACAGCTTAGACCTCCAGTAATGCCATCTCTGAAGCGGATTTTACATCATATCAGAGCCAAAGATTGATAACAAGCCTCATAACGTTTCGGCAACACGAACAACTCTTGTAGAAAAACCTCCATAATACGTGATACCAGTGCGGGAGCGTCACAGTCCGGGCGCGTACAACTTTTAATTCAAAATCTCAGGAATCATAAGAGAGGTAGTGTTTTCTGTAGTGCAGCTAATAATCTGTTGGTAGGATCGAGGGTTATAGCTCGTCTTGAAAATGAAACAAAGTTCCACCATACAAAGATTTAATCAACCAAAATTTATCGCATATAGTAATATATTTACACTTTCGTAAAACTTGCAGTATATAATTTTTAATGTTTTAACGTGTTATAATGTCCGCAATGTTCTTACGGTGAGGTGACAGTGGCTTAGTATCTATACGTGTAACGATCGACTAACGCATCCCACCTTTCAGGTAGGATACCTTAATTATGCGTATACACCTTATGGAACACTTATATGTGTACAATTGTATGGAATCTAAATGCTGAAAATCGTCTTTACTGTTGACTAATGATGTTGGTCAGTCTTGGGAAAAACCATCTGAAACGTTAAGCAAAATACACCGGTAGTTTAAAATCTCATGAACCGTAATATTGCATACCCATAGTATTTGACACATTCGAAGTATCCAACTTGCTCCATAGATGGTAGGATAGGTTTTTATGGTACAATGACAACAAGTCGTTTGATTCCGAAACTACACAGATCAAGGATTGACCATGTACAAGAAGCACAGAAGCGCTACTATCGCGAGAAATGGAGGAAAAATGCCACTGACATTGATAGTGTTGATGATTAACGTACAAGTTATCCGTTCTTTCGGCTTGATTGATACTCTGGCCGTATTATTCTATTTCGTCGCATCTAGCGCAAAATAAACAGGAAAGATCAGTGCTAACGCCCGTATCAGTGAACGGAGTTAGTCGCCCAAAAAATTCCTTATGGGGGATTGGTCAACCAATACGACCATCGTTTACAGTATATAGACAAATATGAATATTTACCTAAATACCTTTAGAAAATGAATTCATACTTCATTGCTCCATAAACAAATGCGTTATTAGTAGAAAAACTGAATTCCTTGTTTTTACATTATCTGCAATGAATATAAGCAGTTTTTTTATGAGGGATTAAAATATGTAGACAAATTCTTTTCAACATTAGTTTAGTACAGTTTCGTGTCAGAAGAGGATTAGTTTGTGTTCATCAAGTATTGTGGAATAATTTGAGTGGTCCAGAAATTTCTTTCGATGTGAAAACTAAGATTATTGAGTTATACAAAAATAGTCAACGTCGACATTGCCAAAAATTTGAAGCTGAAGCGAAAAGCAGTTCGGGCAATATTGAACAAATATAAACAAAAAAGTATCTTGGAAGCCTCTAAGGGAAGTGGTCGGCCTAGAAAACTAATGCTAGATCGGTTAGATTAATAAAAGTAATTACGTCCAAAGATCCGTTTAGAACCCCAAGACAAATAAAATTGTCAGTGTTTCTACGAAAACTATAAGTAGAAGATTAAATGATTTGAAGTTATTTGCACGTCGCCCCAGTAAGAAGCCGCTAATCTCGAGGAAAAAGAAATTCTTTCTGGATGAAAAAATACTAGTTCTCAAATGGCCTTCACAGTCTCCCGATATAAACCCCATTGAAAATCTATGGGAATACTCAGATAAGCAAATACGACATAAAAATTTTTCAAACAAGGATGAACTTTTTGCCGCATTAGAGCAAAAGTGGAGACAGATTGATGAAACGTTGCTTCTTTTTTCTATAATTGTTTTGCTTTGTCTATATATTTTTGTCCTTCACAGTTCCAGTTTTTTTTCAATCAATTTTTTATTGAAGAGGGTCTAATGAATTTATTTTTGTATAACTGAGTATTATGCTATAACGAATTATTTATACAGGTTGGTGTATTTTAATAAAACAAGTTAAAAAAGAAATACACCACAATATTGATTTGTCTATATACTTTTGTCCATTACTGCACGTACGCTCCGTTTTGTTGGATTCGCCAATACACATCGTAGATTTAATTTCTTTACGCCTCCCACAAAAAAACACGACTCGTTCGAATGCTCTTATCAGCAAGTAGAAATAATCGCACAAAAAATGCCTCGCGCTGATTCGTCAACCAATACGACCGCCTTTTGTAGCTCAACCAATGGGAATAAAGAGGATCCTCTTTCGGCGCATGTAGCGCAAAAAAACAGTAAAAATTCAGTACGGAGATTGGTCGACCAATACGATCATCGTAGATTTCATTTCTCACGCCTCCCACAAAAAAAAAACAAGACTCGTTCGAATGCTCTTATCAGCAAGTAGGAATAGTCGCAAAAAAATGCCTGGCGTTGATTCGTCAACCAACACGACCGTCTTTTGCAGCTCAACCAATAGGAATAAAGAGGATTCTATTATATCTAAAAACAGGAAAGATCATATCAGTAAACGATCATCGTTTACAGCGTATACGTACGCTCCGTTTCGTTGGACTCACCAATAGAAATCGTAGATTTAATTTCTTCGCACCTAGCGATGCCACTGGACCTAAAGGCGTGTACTCACCGAACGCGCAAAATGTTTATAAACGTATTCAAATGCAGTGCTTGTTTGGTGTGGACTTGAATCACACGTTTGTAGGTGTTTGTCAGCGCTCCATCCACAGTCGATTTGTACTTGCTTGTGGATTTTTTGCAAATTCTGGTGCGGACATACATGGTAACTATAATTTTGCATGTTGGTTTCTCAATGTTATCACCCCGAAATTCTTCGCGTTCAAAAAATAATTGGAGCGTATAAAAAAATACTGTAAAAAATGTATCTCACTGCTTTGCTCAAAATCACTCAGGATTGAAATGTTGTACCTCATTGTTCGGAGCTTTTCAACGCGTTCATTGGAATCTGGAATAGAGAATTAAGCAATGTCCAACGCAGTTCTAGAGCGTGTACTAGAACATCCGTTCTACACAGTTCAGTTGTTGCATGATTGAATATTTCTAAACAACTCTCTTGGTTTTTTACATATGCATTCACAGTTCAGTTGACTTTAAACCACCTCGACCAGCTGCGTATTACATTTTCCATAATGCTAAGTTAAACGTTATTATTTTGCAATAAAATTACCACTATTGGAGAAAACAAGATCAATTTTAATGTTTTACTCAAAGAACGCACCATCAGTATTTCAAATTTCTAACCTCGCGCCGAACAGTAAATATTCATTATTTACAAATGTAATGCACAGGCTGGGTAGCTTACTTTTTTGTTTATTGCAATATTCAACGCACTATTTGAAGCCCTACGAAGCACTAAGAATATTTCGTTTCAATCCTTGCTAAACACCGAAGATAAATCTTACATCCCTGATTACAAGAAAATATGTTCAACAGTCTATTAGAACATCTCGTGGGTGATTTTGTTTGATACTGAAACCACTACAGAGAATTTCAACTTCAACACGAAACGACAGAAGAAATTATTTTTTCGAATCAAAATCGGTGGCAAATGGACACAGGCATATCAGATTTTAAATACGAGGGTGGATCAACAGTGGAAACGGCGTTAGCAGAAGTGCATCTTGCCTCAGCGGGAGTACTTTGGAGGAGACCATATTAAAATACAAGAACAATTTTATACGTATCTTCCGGACGAACCTCGTATACAATGAATAAGCACTTACACGCTGAGCATTCTTGCTTGAGTTGTCATTTCTCCTCACTCCAGTTACCACCTAGCTTTTAGCTGCCCTCTTGTGAATGACTTAAAAATTCAGCCGCACGAATTCTGCTAATTCAAAGTATGAAACAAAAAATTAACTCTGACTTTAAAGTAAGCTGAGATGCTAGGAAGAACAAGATAAAGTGTGATACTCGTACAGGTGCAAAACATAATCACAAAAAGTCCTCGTTTTAGATAAAGGATCAAGGTTTTCAAAAAAGGATCCTCTGTTGTATGATGTTTATATTTTAGTTTTCATATTCCTATCTGGATTCAATATCAAGCTAAATCACCGTACATTTAGGTATGCATGGTTTACAAAAATCAACATTTACCAAAATACGTCTTTCTCTCTGATCGTCCACGGTAGTTGTAGGATAAAATATATCTTCTAAGTTCTATAGAAAACGTTGTTTTCCCTGTTAGCCTATATACTGTTAATGTTAATACCTAAAATAGTATACAAATATATCACTAAAAAAGAAAATTTGTACATCGTGTTTAACAATTATATTAAAATTTAAAGTAAAACAAAATGTGAATTTACATGTATCTACAGAAAAGCGACTGCTTTCAAAGGCATATAAATAAAGCATATTAAAACATAAATACTTCGATAATGTGATGATAAAAATCTATATGGAATTGTTTGTAAATCGATTTCAATAAGTTATGTATAAAGTAGGACAAAATACATCTGTCAACTTTCCAGCAATTCTGCATGACCATTTACACATAAGGAAACTTGTTCTCTCTGACGAGATGACGAGAAAATCCCGATCTGTTAAGAAAGAAATGATAGCAGGCAGCAGCGGTGGCCGCAGTAGTAGACTCTTCGCTGTGCGGGTTCGAGTCCCGTCCCAGGAGAAATTTTTCTCTAGGCTATGGATGTTGTGATTGTCCGTAGGTGGTAGACGGTCTCTGACTGTCGAACGCGGAGGTACCACCCGGCGGATCTCGTAGGCGGAGCCAGAATGTGTGCATGTGGCGTTCCCCCTTTCCCCTGTATCCTCCTATAGCCCCAGGGTACCCAATGGGTGTTTAGGCCTTAGGCCTTCGTGGTAGTTGGAGTATTAAAAAAAATAGCTGTATTTTTCGAATCGAGCGGGATTGCGTCGTTTTGGACACACAGAAGACAGTCACAGCTAAATGGTACACGGAACAGTGCCTGCCTAAAGTCACAGAGTCGATGAAAAACCTGCGTCAAGAATGGACACTTGGTGCCTCCACCATGAAAACGCTCCTGCCAAAGCCTGCACCGAGTATTTGATCGAAACTGAAGTATATTGAATGCAGCGTAAATTACTTTGAACGAAGTCAATAAATAAAGCTGTATTGCAAAACTTCTATCAGAACACCTAACCAAATACAATACAAATTGTAAGTTAAGCATTTTTTTTTCTGTTATTAATAACACTTTGTTTTCGTACTTGTTAAGTTATATATTACACGAATAAAGTGTACTTCAGTTACCAAATAATGTACTTAATATTTATAACAGAGGCAAACCCATCATGTACAGGTGATAGTAACAGAGTAGGATAAACAAATAAATTATTTAAACTAATATCACTGGTAATGTGGTATGTAGGAGGCAGTAAAAAGATATGGAATCATATGTGTCGGCAAATAAAATCATGACGTTCAGGGCGTCTTAAAAATAAGACAAACATGTTAAGAACCGTCGCCTGGTTTTCGGAGATGTACCGTAATATGATTTTGTAATCATTTTTCATAAAAGAGGTAAACTTGCAATCGTATTGGCAACAGTTCCTTTAGCATGCACAAAAATGATATATCAAGATATAAAAGACCCAATAGCACCAATGAACTTTGGAACGAACCTCCCAGGGCAGTTGAATTTCAAATTGCCATATTTTTCGGGACTTTATTTCTAATGTTCTCTGACGATTGACGAAGCATATTTCAATCATTTAAAAAAAATGTATTGACAAGTGAGGTCTAACGAATCTCCACACTTTTCTTTTTCAATAATAATAGAGCACAGTTGAAATACACAATTCGAGACAAAAAGTGTTTACATGTAACGATAGGAATGTATAAAATAAAGTTGTGTATAAAGATTTGGATAAAAATAAAACCACTGGGCAAGAGCATGGAGTCCTTTCGCGTTATATTTCATATAACTCCGAAAAACAGGCGACCCAACTAGCAGTAATAAAAAATCACATAATACTAAAAACCACTCGAAACTACCTATTAGTTTGGTATAAAACATTTTTACAGGGTATAAAGAACTTAGGACAACTGGTTTCAAGCGCACCATCATTATACAAAACCTGAAAGAGAAACGTCAAATTAAAAATAAGAATCAGGAAAAACAATAGCAGACGATTAGTTCAAAAATATTTTTCAGATCGTGAAATATACAGGGTGTTTGCTAGATGAACCAACAACATTTTTTTGAGCGATTGGGGACGCTATTCTGATGGTCACGTGATGTGTATAAATAATATCATATTCTAAATTCGATTATAATAAAAACTATACCTTTTTTGAAACCTAGTTTTACTTACAAAACTCAGATGATTGAGTATACATTACAGAATAGTCTCATGTTTATTTTGTGTCATTATCTGTAGAAACAAAAAAGTGATAACGATATTTATACGCAATTGCATTTAATTCAGCAAAAAAAATAGCCACCCCAATCGGCCTAACAATTTTGATGATTCATGTACAAAACACCCTGTATCGAATGTAAACATTTGGACACTGCTTTAGAACTGTTAAAATTTCATGTTATTTAGTTCTCATTTTCGTACTCAAATTAAAACATCATTTATTACCACCGCATTTAGAAAACAAACCCCTGATTGCGTTTGCGATCTGATGCGAAAGATAAATATATTCAACTCTTTATTTAACAGTATTGTGAAACCACATATGTGGACATTGAAGGATTCGGTGCAAAAACCGGTCAACTCCATTTTTCCCCAAATTAATTTTTTACATGCTTCATATGGGACAAATGTTTGCGCATCCTTTGGTGCAAAATCAGTCAAAAAAATATTTTGTTATTACAGCAGACGCTCGATAACGTGAACACGGGATAATGAAAACTTGCGCTAATGTAAACACAAACTTTGTTCTATAGGATCAAACGGAACGCGCGATAACGTAAACAATGTGTACGCTCGATAACGTAAACAACTCTCGGCGCACGGAAACAGCGCGACGGTAAAATGCTGAAGCCTCGATGATTTATGTCGGGCGTCGGGGAGTCCCCGATTTATGATGTAGAGTGTAGGGGATTCACCTCTGCGATAAAATACGACAAACTCGGTCAGTCGTATGATCGTTTAGGATACGTTTATACGTACGTATGTATTTCATTTTTGAACTTAAGTGAATACATTGCACGCGTTAATATATTTTACGACTATGGCATCCACATCCTATAAAAGAAAGTTGAGTGAGAACGTGAAAATCATAGACGAAGTTGCACTAGGTGCGGGAATGACACAGTTAGCAAAAAAATATGGAGTATCGAAAGTAACAATCTGTAAAATTAGGCGTATGAAAACTCAAATTTTACAAAGAACGTGCAATACATTTGGAGGTCCAGGAAAAAGAAAAACTTTAAAAAATGCGAAGACACCTAAAATGGAAAATTCCCTGTATAAGTGGTTTTTAAAACAACGCGAAAATCATGTCCCAGTTAGTGGCGAAGTACTTAAACAGAGAGCGAGACTGTTAAATGAAAAACTGAAAGGAACTGAAAATTATTTATATATATATAGAATGAAACAAATTTACAACGCAGATGAAAGTGGCCTTTATTGGAAAATGTTACCAGAGAAAACCTATGCTGCATCATTTGAAAAATCTGCCCCGGGAAGAAAGCCGGAGAAACAACGAATAACGTTTCTAGCCTGCACTAATGCTAATGGTTCACACAAAATAAAGCCACTGGTAATTGGGAAAGCAAAAAATCCGTGCTCATTTAAAAATGTTAGTATCCCTGTTGATTATGACTGTTCAAAAACCGCTTGGAGGTTTCCTAAAACAACAGAAGCTTCCAATAAAAGCTTTGTTACTATTGGATAATGCACCAAGTCATCCTCCCGAGCAACAACTGAGGAGCAGGGATGGGTCAATTTTCGTCATGTACATGCCGCCCAACGTAACACCGTTAATTCAACCGATGGACCAGAATATAATAAGACTCACCAAACTATACTATAGGAAGTTTCTACTTTCGGCAGTCTTATCAAAGAATCCTGAAAACTTATCTGAGGCTTTAAAAAAAGTGACATTACGAGAAGCTGTTTTAGATTTACATATGGCCTGGAATGAATTTAACCAGCAAACTATTCAAAAATGTTGGAACAATCTCTTTTGTACCAATAATGAAGATGATGAAGAAGACGATGTCCCCTTAAGCGTAATTAGAGATCGTTTGCGATCCAATAATGATAATGTTGTTAGTGTGTCATTGGATGTTGTTGGTTTATTGAAAACAGTGAATCCCAACATTATTTGTACTCCTGCTGATATTAATTTATGGAACAAAGATAAGCAGACGAATGATGCTGATAAGGAGGAGGATATGGACAGTGAGGATGATGAGAACGATCCCATTGAAGTCAGAAGTGTAGTGACTGACGCGCAAGCTATACAAGTTTTTAACCAAGCTTTAGATTGGGCTGAAAGAAAAGAAGTTTCATACACGGATATTTTAGTTCTTCGTAAATTACGGGCGCAGGCATTGGAAGACAATGCTAAGCGCAAATTACGCAGACAAAAATTGTTAATTATTTTTCTTCTAATTAAAAAAATACTTATCGCTGTTAGAATATTTGTTTATTTTGTTATAAATAGTATGTATTAAACGTTTGTTTTAATAAATCAAATATTATATAAATCACGTTCGCTAATGTAAACATTTCAATGTGAACCACACTTGGATTAAATTAGTTTACATTATCGCGCGTCTGCTGTACTTTGGTATTAAATTATTTTCCTAGTACCATTACATAATAATGTAGCGTTTTTCTGGCTTCTTTTGGGTGTCGATTAAAATACTGGATTCCACAGAAAGAAATGCACAATGATAAAACATTTATATGCACCACTATTTATCTCTGACTAATTCTTATGTCATCATTGCACTATACTTCTCTTCGCTCTGCTACTCCACCGTATTCCGTACTCTCCGCCCCATCTCCCGGCCGCCGAGTTATATATAGTTCAATTACCATGCGAGAAAGTCCACGAAGCGATATCTAGAATGTTGGAGATCACTTCGCGACGATCTAGAAGGCGATCATCCACTGTCACGATCCTCACAGCCGCCGCTAGGTGGCGTAAAAGTAGAGATCGTCCATGAAGCTCTAGCGAGTAGGAGACTCGCCCAACAGATGGCGCCGACAGTATGATTTGTCACATAAGTTTTTCTTTCGATAGAAAACTCCTAAAACTAACAATATTGGGAAGTTTCTATTGATTTTCCGCAAATTATGGAGTTGACCCGTTTTTGCACCATTGACGTTTTGGCCATCACTGTAGCCTCTCTCAAGGCGATCGCAGGTTACTAGTATCCACTTACCGTCACTCTCTCTTGCTCTCGCTCCTTCCGTTCAATAGTTCCTCGCAGCGTTCCGCGGTCCCTCTTCACACCTTCATCTCTCCCGACGCCCTGAAATTCGCCAACGTCTTCTTGATACGCAACGCGGTCAACCTGGCCGTCGCGTTGTGGTACCAGCACTCTTTCATCAGTTTCGAGATGACGTGCAACGCCTCGCAGCTCTGCCACCGGTTCGGAATGCTCGGCCGCTGCCGTTCGCAGCACACCACCCTGAACGACACAACAGATCATTCGTGACACGAGGCACCGAATTTTTTATACGTATTTTCCGGACAGACCTCGTATAGCGCTACCTTCCACTTAGTTCTGATAAGTCATTGTCCATGCATGATTTTATTTTATTGTTTTTTTCGTTTTTGGCCAACAGTGGACTGAATTTCAAAAAGTATAAAGCTTGGCATAAGCACAGGCGTGCAGGCCGCCCAAAGCATGAATTTAAGTAAAAAAAGTGACTTTTTCGAAAAAAAGTAGTCAGAAATAGTGAGTTTATATATATTTATATATAAAAATAAACAATATTTTTTTGCTACGATCCGTTGGTATGAATCCGATAAATGTATAGTACTTATTTTGAATCTTCAGGCAACCCCGGTCCACTCACAATTTTATAAGTTCAAATGAACAACGGGTTTCTGAAAACTATCAGGAACTAAACCGGTCTGGTTGGCCATAAAAATAGTTCCATAAAGTTGAATATTTTTTGTTATTAAAGGAACTGAACAAACATCCACACTATATTTACAGCGATTAAGAAATACCCAAATATATGTCGTAAAGCTACCAGCAAACCTAAAACCTGCAAAAAAATGGAAATTTGCAATATTTTTCTTTTTTCACGAGTACACATTCTAGGTTATACTATTACACATTATTTGAATAACAGCTGATTATTACATTTCAAAACTCCCCAACGAGTGACACATGTGTGGGATCCGTCAACACTTGGTCCCAGGCACAAAACATATACACTGAAGAAGGTTTAATTCCATGCTATTCAATGACAACACGGTGACTTGTGTGGTTGTCAGCGGCCATTTTGTGAGGGTGCGACATGGTTGCCAGATTGTGCATTAATATCCCGTTTCACCTCTCTGGTCCCAGTGGAGTATGCTCCGCCAACTGTTAAAATATACTCTATAAGACTATTCGAGGAATTTTTCCCAAAATCGTTGCATAACACTTGAAAAAAATGCAAATGAAAATTTAAAATTATTTCCATGACGCCGCAAATAGCTGTGTCGCTACCTCGGGTTATAGATCTTGACAGTAGGGATGTTCGATACGATCCTATATTTAGAAGTATCGATACTTTTGCTTCCCATATCCGATATTTTGGATCGATATTTTTATATACGACACTTGGGTGTATCGATACATTTCACGAGTCTCGTCATCTTTCGATCCGGACTCTGTCAGAAAAAGTGACTAACTTCAGATTAATTTTCTTCCAATAGCTTAGAGTATCGATACTTCCTAAAACGATAAGAATCGATACATAACGATACTTTTCCTGGATTTAAACATCCCTAATCTTGACAGCTTGTCGTTCTTGTCAACTGGGCTGCAGGGTGCGGTGTTGCCTTTACTAACATTTTGATAAAATCTCATGACAAATAAAATCTTCAAATGAAATATTGACGAATATGAACGGATATGCATAGAATTTAGAATATAAATTCATATTGCAAATTTCAGATTGTCTATGCTTGGACTTGAACTAGATTTTTGGGTATTTCTACCGAAAAGAGAATATTTACCGATAACGATTTTTCAAAATAATTTGAATATTTCTATACTTGCCGAAAAAGAGCTGAAACCAAAAATAAAGCTAAAAGTTAATTTTATGGAGTATTCGCAGTTTTATGCCTCATATTAATCATGCATCTGCATACACACTCAAGAAGTCGGGCACATACAAAAGGTACAGACTGGTAGGTCACCGTCATTACCTCATCATCGGACAAGCAATAAAGAAACCGAAACCTGTCTGTTTTCAAAATATTTAATTAAAATGAGAGGTGAGTTCAGGGGTAAAACAGAAAAATATTCACAATCCCATAAGCAAGAATCGAAAAAGGAGTTTCCAGAATGCTTTGCAAGTACTTTGAAAGAGCGACCAGTATGCACATTGTAGAAGTTGTAATATAGAACTATGCCCTCAAAAAACATGTTATGTGCGCGGCCAATACAATAACAAACAGACGTTTTTCATGACTCAAAGGTCCTTGATCTACCACTGATCTTGGGACGGCATTTACCTTATACCGAACTCAACGACACTATTTACCGATTCCGTTTTTTTCCGGTTCGGTAATACTGCAGATCACTTTAAAAGCAACTGATATCTCAGACGTGTTTTAATAATAGAAATAATAAGAAAATATAACAATGTTTGGAGATATATTTTCCTAAATAAATATTTTTGATTCTGACATAATTTCTAGACGATGAATAAAAGGTGGATACTTTTACAAATATCGATGTTTTAGGACCCAAAAATGCAGAACGTGCTGTTTGTTTACATTTCTTGTGGATTTCTAGATCATAAATTGGCAAAAATTGTTTTTGATGTAACAAAAGATGAACCAGTTGGAATACGTTTTATATCCTTTTTTTGCAAAATAACGAAAATCGGTACATTTCTACAGGTACGTACTATGTACAACACCCTGTACGTGATATACAGACAAAACTAGATTGCCATGCATGAACAGTCATCAAAAACAGTGAAAACATCCTACCAAATATAATAGCTTGAAAATCGATCTATTATTTCTCTCATTTTCATTGACCGTCTTTTCTGAAATGATAAAAATTTGAAATTCTATGAAAGTTATCCCAATTCTAAAGCACAGACATAATATTACATCTATAATGTACCCTTATTTATAAGGCAACCGTTTTTTCACGACTTTATTCAACATTTCAATAGAAATCACTGATACTCAGACAGGTTTGACAGCTTCTGTCAAATTGCATTTCGATAAGGTCTTTTCCTATTGGTCCAAGGGACCGCTAAATATTAATGTTGGTTATTGTCAAAATACATGCTTCTGCCTTGAACTTTCCGATCGTTTTGCGAGGAGAATTCTCCATGATGATCTTCATTTCCATCCTTACAAGATAGCAATTGTACCGGAACTTTCTGAGCGCGGCTCCAAATCTCGGAGCGCCTTCTCGAAGTCGTTTCTGAGGACGTTATTCTTTTTATTGTCCTGACACCAATAGCCGAGAAGTGCATCGAAGGTCTTTGAAGATAACAAAAATCAGTGTGGTGTATGTATCATGTTACAGGAATTCTTTTGCACGGCTAGATGAGTTGGACAGGGGACTTTTAGTTACAACAAGTCAGTGCAACCGCACACACTTAAAGAGCACAGATAGATGGCTGTTTTAATGGAACAATTTCCAGAGAGATGCGATTTGGTGTGGCCGGCCCGCCTCCCCGATTCGGCCTCTCGTGATTTTTTTCTATGGGGTTTTTACAGATCCCGCTTTTATGTGAACCATCCAAGGAACCTACAAGATTCTGAAGACCAGCATCCATACTCAGTGTATGGAGAATGAGGGACGTCACCGATCTTCAAAACAGTGCAAAGCAAAACTTTAGGCATGCGCCTACGTTATAGAAACAAATAAAAATATTCCGGTTCATGCGATGGGTTTTGAAAAAAGGTTATGCTGCCCGACCACAATGATATTACACTTTAAACTTCAACTCAATTATACATACCGTCTCATTTCTTCGATAGTGGGATCCGGAGGAACTGCATCATAAAATGGCAACTGGTATTCGTCGTAAATACCGCCGACGTTACATCTCCTCGCAATTTCCCAAAATATCAAACCTAGAGCATAGACATCGGCTCTCTTGAAAGAATCAAACTGGTCAATGTTCATTGTTTCATCAAGCACCTGAAAAAGCGTAACGTGTAAATGCTCAGATGTTGCATCTGGTACGGAATTAACTCATCACTGCTGTCAGAGAGGGAATTCTTGAAAACAAGGAAGTAGAATAACTATTAGAATCGGTGCGTGAGTTTATTATTTTTGGGAGAACTGTATTCTTCAACTTTACGTAGTAGAAAAGTCACTTCCCGAAAAGTGCCGAAGACACGCACTTGTTCATCTCCGAGGATAAAACTATTTTAACGACTTGCCTCAGGAGCCATGTATCTCTTCGTTCCAACGCGGTTATTCAAAGGAATATCAACCGTATCCGTAGTAACGTCATGCCTGACAGCCAATCCTAAGTCGCCAATAGCACAAGTTCCATTTGACTTCACGAGAATATTCTTCGATTTCAAATCTCTGTGGGCAATTGCAGGTTTACCTGAAAAATTTATAATATAAAAAATTTAATCAACAGAAGTCAAAGAACTAAAATTGGCAATACATCATCAAACATTAAAAACATTTCGGTAGGTGTGCCACACGGTAGCAAATTAGGTCCAATACTATTTATTTTATATATTAACGATATTCCTGATATTTTACAACACTGCAAAATTCAACTATTTGCTGATGATACATCAATATATATATATATATATATATATATATATATATATATATAACTTGAGACGTGGTCATTGTCGTCTAGACCAGTTAGGTGAAAAATTAAAGCTTCCGCCTTTTGTTGGGTACTTCGACAAAATTTAAGCAAAGAGGACTCTTTATACTTTTTTTAATTCTCTCTAGCTTTCAATGGACTTTGCCATCATCATCAGGAGCTGCAATTACAATGATAACAGTAGCAACAAAAGTGTAAAATGAATTTAAATTGAATCAACTTACAGTAGTATGTGAGGATGTTGCTAATTATTGTTTTCGTATAGGATGAGGGAAACGTCCAGTAACATGGTGAGAGCTGGATACATGGTACAATGGTTAAAATTATATAAAATATGACAAGACAAGTAAAATCTAATAATTCTCTTCTCACGATTTATTAATAATTGTTAATTTAAAATACCCATTAATTAAAATATAGCTTATTCAACTGCCTCTGGTCGGTTTAACAATTTCTTACATAACATTCTGAAAATCACATCATCTGAAGTGATTTGGCAACGTTTTGGCACACGCCCACAATTCGTTCCATCTTTCAACACAGACATTGACAAGCTTCGACCTTCTGTCAAAGGTTCATCTCACTCATTATTCCATGACCACCATTTTGTGCAATCATCAAGTGGCTTCACGACGTAATGCTCTAATGTTTTCTAAATAATTTTTAATCTGTCTTTAACTTGTCTTGTCATATATTTTATAATTTTAACCATTGTACCATGTATCCAGCTCTCACCATGTTACTGGACGTTTCCCTCATCCTATACGAAAACAACAATTAGCAACATCCTCACATACTACTGTAAGTTGATTCAATTTAAATTCATTTTACACTTTTGTTGCTACTGTTATCATTGTAATTGCAGCTCCTGATGATGATGGCAAAGTCCATTGAAAGCTAGAGAGAATTAAAAAAAGGATAAAGAGTCCTCTTTGCTTAAATTTTGTCGAAGTACCCAACAAAAGGCGGAAGCTTTAATTTTTCACCTATATATATATATATATATATATATATATCACATAAGGACATTGAAACTGCAATAGAGCTGTTAAATAATGATATGAAAGACGTAATAAATTGGATAAATGTAAATAAACTTAAACTAAACACAAACAAAACAAAATATATGCTAATAGGAAAATCTTTTGATTAAAATACGATAAATCTTACAATTAATCATGAAAAAATTGTGTCAATCGAATCATTTAAATATTTGGGCATATACGTAGACAGTAAATTCAAATTTGAGGGGTACTATGAACATATTATTTCAAAAATATTCAAGAAAATAAATTACTTTTATGGAATTTCGCGTGGCCTTTATTCTAAAAAGATTTGTGTATATATATACTATATATATATAAATATTTTGTTCGATTATTTCGTTCACTGCAAATAAAGCTATGAGAATCATCTTAAATAAAAATAAATATACTAGAATAAATTTTATGCTGAAAGAACCACAATGGTTAAATATCAAAAATTTCATAGCCTACTTGGTTTTCATTTTCATATTAAAGTTAGAAAATCATCTTCTACCAAGTCACTTAGAAAATTTTATTGTATTGAACAATGAGTGCCACAATTATTACTAGAGGAAGTATAGACTTTCGTTTACGAAACTGCAGTATTTCAAAAGGGGTTGTACGAATTTAATAAATTAAGTAATGATATTAAGATGTGTGTCACTTTGAAAATGTTCAAAGGGAAATTGAAAAAATTATCTCATGGAAAACCAGAATTCATAGTGGTGGAATTTTTTATAAAAATATGTAGTCATGAAGACATAATATATTTTGTGATAAACTGTGTAATATGAATATTATGGATATTGTAGCATTAATGCTAAATAAATCTGAAACAAACAAAATAAAGTAAATATATACGTTTTATCTCGTATATTCGAATATGACATTTATACACATGTTCTATGTTAGATTAAGTGGGTCGCTAAACATTTTAAGATCCCTTAGAGCTTTGCTAACAAGTTCATCTTTTTATTACGATATCATGTCTGAAAATACGTTCAAGTGCATTTAAATTAAAAGCTAACAGACCCTAAATAAGTGAAATTTTGTAAGACAAAACAGTGACAACTTACCATCCTCAATAAGTACTTTATTGATTTGAGATATCGGACAAAAATATGACAAAATCCCTGGCTTTGGACTTCATATAAAAAATTCGAAACAAAGGTTTATGCGTACGGAATCTAAATCTCAACAGATAGTGAACAAACAAAACCAAACGCTAGTGCCTTACCCTGTGTTCCCATGATATCCATATGAAGATGAGCAAGACCAGTTGCAATCGACAACGCCATGTGTATCATTCCATTGGTATCCAACGTATTCCTCCCCAAGAAATCGAACAGAGAACCATACTCATGATAGTCGGTGATTAACCATAACTGAGTCCACGTTCCATTATCTATAATGACAAGAAATTTTCGTTTCAAGGTTCGTCCATTCGCATATGTCACTTTTAACTTACCCTTATTATCGGCAGCAATGAATCCAAGAATATTGTCATGCCTCAACATGACAGTCTGATATATCTCCGCCTCTCTGAACCACGACCTCTCCTCTCTCGAGCTGAAAATCTTCACCGCTACGTTTTCTCCTCGCCACCTTCCTCTCCACACCTCGCCGAATCTTCCCTGTCCGATTATTTCGACCAGCTGGATTTGGCGGGCGATACTGCGTTGCACCAACAGCGGAAGACCTGAAACACAAACAGATCGACTGTCATTATGAATTAAGTTTCAGAGTTTCAGAAGTTTTTGCTTTTTTGGAGCCGGTGAACCTTAAAAGTTATTTGGAAGTCAAATTTGAAAATTCTGTTAGCATCTACGATTTTTGAGTGATCCTGGTGGATCCCCATCTTATTTGAGCAAGAGACAGCAGCTTCTGAACTTCAACCTCCAGTCCGACGACAGTTTCATGTGGCGTCCACAGGGTTCTGTGCTGGGGCCACTTTCATTCTCAATATACATAAATGACCTTCCTAATTGTAATAACGGGTGATTTTTTAAAAGGTATAGGATTTGATTTTCAAAAAAACACAAAAAATTTGAAAAAACGATTACATCTTTATTTAAGTCGATAGAACGGTCGATATAATTTAATGTTTAAAGATTATTTCATGTAAATGTTGGCCGCGGCTCCGTTTTAGAAGGTCCAATTTTGGCACACTCTCTCCAACATATCGGCCGGTATCTCACGAATAAATGCTTCAATATTGGCTTCCAGTGCGTCAATCGTTGCTGGTTTATCCCTGTAGATATTATCCTTAACATGGCCCCACAAGAAATAGTCCAACGGCGTTAAATCACACGATCTAGGCGGCCAATTGACGGTCCCCAAACGTGAGATAAACTCGAACTCGCCTCTCAATAGGGCCATTTTTTCGTGTGCGGTGTGGCATGTGGCACCGTCTTGTTGAAACCACATGTCAGCCAAGTCCAGCTCTTCCATTTTGGGCAAAAAAAAACTTATTATCATCGCACGGTAGCGCTCACTATTCAGTTGATGTTCCGGCCATTGTCGTCTTTGAAGAAGTAGGGCCCGATGATGCCACCGGCCCATAATCCACACCAAACAGTGATTTTTTCAGGATGCATTGGTAGCTCTTGCAATGCTTCTGGCTGGTCTTCACTCCAGATGCGGCAATTTTGCTTGTTAACGTACCCATTCAACCAGAAATGAGCTTCGTCGCTGAACACAATTTTTCGATAAAAATGTGGATCTACGTCCAACTTTGCCAGCGCCCATTCACCAAATTGGAAACGTTTTGGGAAGTCGTGTGGCTTCAATTCTTGCACCAGCTGTGTCTTATAAGGTTTTACACCCAAATCCTGTCCAATTGCTGCGAACGGCGGCGAATCGACATTTCAAGGTCATCACTAACACTGGCGGATACAGCCGCAATATTTTCTTCAGTCCTCACTCTACGCCTGCGTGTTGGTGGTTTAATGTCCAATAACGTAAACTGGGTTCGAAATTTAGTCAAAAGCTTCCGAATAGCTCCCTCATTAGGCCGACCAAATTGCCCATAAATTGGAAGCCGTGCTCGATGCACTCTCTTAACCGAGCATGATTTTTGATAGTAAAATTCAATCATTTGCAAGCGTTGTTCGTTCGTAAGTCGATTGATGGTTAAATTATAGACCAAACTGAACAAGTTTGACAATGACACAAGACACGATTCACGCGTCATCTGTCAAAAACAGTGTTGCCAAAAAGATACTAGCGAAAAAATCACCCATTATAACCAAAAACCTTACACTGTTTGCCGATGACACAACAATGCTCTGAAGTAGCAAATCGATTGATCTACATTTCTCTGCCAATACTGAGTACATAATAAATTTAAAAAATTGCTACTTTTGTGAATTTTCACTTTTGAAGTTTAACCTCTATTTCGACCTGTGCAACCACGCACCAATAAAGGAATGAAAATCGTGAATGACCAAATCCTTAAACGTTGACGATTTAATGATCTGGCCAATTCCACGATTTGTCATGAAACATCCAAAAAAAAAAAACAAAATACCTCATTTACAAAAATTTAACGCCGATTGGCATGGAAATAAAAGCCTAAAAGCAGACCTACCTGACCCACTTCCGCTAGTCGTCATCTCGATCATATGCTTCAGGCTGACACCCTTGTTCAACAAGGGATGCTCCGGCGCCTCTAACGCATCATCCCCGTGCCTGAGATGCCTGTGTGCAGCGTCCCTGCGGTGGTACGAGGTGTGCACAAAATATACCGCCCCCGCGACGATGCATAAGATCAGAGTAGGGATGGCTATAAAGGCAGCGATCTCCAGCGAGGTGAAGTATGCGGGCTCCTTGATCGCTGCTGGGGAGACAGAAAACATGACGTTGGCAGGTCGAATGGAAATATATTAACATACAGGATCGACAGAGACATATTGAGGTTCCGCATTTAATGTGTAAGAGAGAGACAGAAAGAAATACTCATGTTGATGCGTCAGCGCGAATGAAGCGTTCCCGTCTGGCGACGTTGCCAGATGTTAGGACATTCCTTGGAGTTGAATGATTTTAGAAACTGATGTTGAAATAAATTGTTAGCAATATCTTTTTACAAGTCAAAGTTTATTAATATATATTAATTATTTATGTTGCTAAATAATTTGTTCTTTGGAGATTATAGTAAGTGTGGTGCTAGCTTTAGGAATTGCCGCCGAAAAGCAATAACAAAATTACCAAACTTGTATGTAACGAGTTCAGATACTCGTTAGATGCAGTGGTTCAAATTTTTCGGAGTAAAACAGATTTCTTGCATTTCGTACTACGAAAATAGGTCAGGTTTCAAAACCTAAGCACTGGAATGTACTTCAATCTATGATGATGACGAAATTACGGTAACATTCAAATTAGTACAATATACATTCTGTCACCAATGTATTTAGACCTTTGTCTATTTCTTTTTTATCATACACACCATGTGCAAAGTAGTGCCGATAAGCTGCTAGCAGAGCAACAAAGTAATACTCGATTAAGAATCCTTAACAAACTATTTCAGTAGGTTTTTGATTTTTTGATCTACACGTAGGTGTCACTCCCTGTTAAGCTTGATATACACTTGAGTTACGTCAAATACACAGCAGGCCAATGCGCTATACAGGGTTATCCAAATTAAGTGTCCACCATTAGTAACTTTGTTATTAGTGAAAATACAAAGTTGTTTGAATTAGCAAACTAGTAGCATTTTTAACGCTGGTAAAAATGAGAAATAAAAAAAAACAATTGAGAGTCGTTATTTTGATTTTTTTCAGTAAAATAACATTTTTTTAAATGGAAACCCCTATATATTATATTTTTTTCTGTTAAAGCATCAAATTTTAAACAAAAAAGCTTACAATAACTTTTCTCCTAGGTTACAAATTGTTGAAGTTATGGCCTCCAATCTGAAACAATTAAATTGTATCGACAAACTTTATTTTCAACATCAACTTATAATCTTACAAAATACAATAACAATTTTTTTAAAGAAGATGCTCGAAAACACCACCTTGTTCTTCAATACATTTTTGGGCACGTTTTTCAACTGCTCGAACTGTCTTAAGTATGGTCCTACCATCTATCTGGGTTATCTTTTCCCTAACTGCAGTCTTTAACGCGTCAAGGTTATCGTACCTTCGCTTGTAAATTTGGTTCTTTAAGTAACCCCACAAGAAGTAATCAAGTGGGTTTAGATCTGGTGATATGGGAGGCCACTGTATTGGGCCATTTGTTCCTATCCACTGATCATTAAAAGTAGTACTTAGAAAATGATAAGTACCTCTGGAGTTGTGGGCAGGTGCGCCATCTTGCTGAAAATGCAGATGATGTCTACTTATAAGATCCAATTCGTCTAAGAAATTAGTCAGAATTTCTGACATAAATTCCACATATCTTTCACCAGTTAGGGTTCCCTCATAAAAGAACGGGCCAACAATTTTTGAACCAATTATACCGCACCAAACGTTGAAACTGAAACGGACTTGTGGGCCTCTTGGATGTACTAACAAAAGATTTTCTCTTGACCAATAATGGTGGTTGTTTCTATTAAACATTCCAGAATTTGAAAAATTTGATTCATCTGTCCATAAAAGGTAACGAAAGTTATTTACATTTTGGCGACAGAAGCTAAGATACCAATGGCAAAAAACAAGTCTTCTCTCTGGATCCCCTGCCAAAAGCGTTTGAACTGGTCGGTACTTAGACGGAATAAATTTGTATTTTTTTTAAAATCCTTTGAACAGTACCATAACTGAAATTAGAGTCCTTGAGAATATCTGCTATTGAATTCTCACGATAAGCTTCAAAATATCCAATAACTGCAATTTCCGTGGCCTCGCTTATTATGAATTCTTTTTTTGCCCTTGTTTTAGCAAAAACATTTTCGTTACCCTAAATTTTCGATAAAGTCTCAGAAAATATCGTTCATACGGTTGAATACGAGCGGGATATAATTCACTGTAGTATTCTCTTGCTCTCAAGGAGGATTTTCTGCACACTAAATAGCATTCTAACATATCACACTTTTCTTCATGGGAGAACATTTTTCTTTAAATTAATGACACAATAAAGCTTATAAACAAGTATTTACACTAATGTTTGACATTATTTGATTTTATCATTGTTTTCCAAAGCCTTCTAGTTGCGAGTATGTCCAGTTTAACAATTTGTCGCTTATCTTAATGCTGTCAAATCGCGAACGCCATGTTGTTTTCATAGCCGTCTTAATATTATAATACTGCAAATAATTAAAAATATTTATCGTTATTTTGACTTCATTTTTGACTTTAGCGGAAAAGTCATTATGAACTTTTTTGTTTAAAATTTGATGCTTTAACAGAAAAAAATATAATATACAGGGGTTTCCATTTAAAAAAATGTTATTTTACTGAAAAAAATCAAAATAACGACTCTCAATTGTTTTTTTTTATTTCTCATTTTTACCAGCGTTAAAAATGCTACTAGTTTGCTAATTCAAACAACTTTGTATTTTCACTAATAACAAAGTTACTAATGGTGGACACTTAATTTGGATAACCCTGTATACTAAGCTGATTTGGCAACAGAACTCCATGAAATTACTGATACGAGACATAAAAAAAGGGGCCTTGTCACAAACTCGTTCTCCTTGATGTCAGATATGTTTCATCAGCGCTCTCGCTCTAACATACGTGTACCTCTCTATCTCTCTCACGCAAATGAAATAAGGAACCTCAATGATTATCTGCCGATCTTGTATGGTTCATACAGGGTGGCGCATCGAAAACGAAACAGACGCATTTACTGGCAGCTAAGTTTTTTTTGAAAAAACGTGATTTTTTGCCAAACTTGTGTCCCCCTCGAAAACAAAATCGACGGGTCTGAGCGTTTTTCCAAAAAAAAAACTGAGCTGTCAGTAAATGCGTCTGTTTCTTTTTCGATACGCCACCCTGTATATTAACTTAGGCTACAAGTCACATATGTTTATATGCAAAGCAATAACAATAAAGAATGAGATTCCTTGTCAAGCTTTCCAAAATGTATATTTTCATCATCAAAAAGAAAACAGTTAAAATCAATTATTGTACCCTAGAAACGCGCTTTCATATTGAGCAATCCAAAAAAAGAGAGGAAAATCAATTAACGTACAACATAAAAATGCACAAGTCGCAAAATGAATTATTGATCAATAAGCGGTTATAATGTGAAAGCTTTAATAATATGTCATTTCAATACTATTTGTTGGAAAGAGCCGACGTGGCGGTTGCTGATATGAGACGACAAAAGTTTGGATTTTTAGAAACTACTACTATAAGTGACATATAAAATGCAACACGCAGAATTATTTACTGAATTTTGATAAAAACTTGTAAACGTATTTGCTATGCATGATGAAAGTATACGCTGATAAAATTACAATGTTTGACAAGAACGATCATGGAAGGGGACGTATCAGATAACGTTTTGATAGCACGAAATAAAATAATAAACACAGTGACTTGTTACCAAATAATAACTAAAATTTTTAAAAAAGGTCAGTTCTCTACAACGTTTATTACCCCATTTCGTGGTAGGATGATCATATTAGCTGATTTTGTAATAAAATCATTTTTATAAATGTCCTCAAATAAATAGGTCAAAGACACTTAAAAAAGATTGAACGCGTATCTGAACTTTGTAAAGAAAATGGCATTGTTTATTTTATCAAGACCATTCCATATAAAACTTCAGATTGGTTCGAAAAATGGCAGCGATTTTAATCGACATTAATATTATAATATTGCGAACAAACTGTATATGTAGAACTGACCTCTTTTTCGATGTACAATCATTAATTCATTCAATTGTAGTACCCGCATATTTGACTGCTCTATTTACAGCTTAATATACATAACATAACGCTACAGATTCAATATACAGTAATGGTTAATAATCTGTATGGATACCATTGGTACGACTATCAAACTAGTATTTTGTAATTATAAATATGTTCTGCTAAAATTATCGATCACTGTACAAGCTCCGAACCGTAGATGTGAAATGCAATTATTAGTCAGCCACAATTGTCGGATTTCGACATTTTTTATTTGTTTCCTTGTTTTATTTCTACAGATGCTTCTAAAAGAAAAATGACCGATGATTCCTTCAATTTGAAAGACAGTAATTACAGTGTTACAAGATACTCAAAAGGAGCTTCAAAACAAGGTGTCACATGCTCCTCCTCATTCGGTTTAGAAATGATCTGCAAAAGTATCTATCAATTTGAGCTAGTTAATTTAATCCGTTCCAATACATATAATTCTATACTTTCTGAAAAACACAGTATAAACGCACAAAATTATACATTATGGTTAAAACGACACTTTTAACCATTACTGAGCAACTTTTTATAAATTGAATGAAATAATGTTAATCATAGGCGATGTAAACCAACGGTATCGTAAAACATCAGTTGGAATATTCATGCATTTAGTTGTTATTCTTCAAATAATTCATAATGTTTCCATGTGTGATGCATTGCTGGTCATCCAATTCATGCTAGGTTCACATGTACGTATATACTCTTAAAATAGGAATAGTTGTCTATACTTTATTGAAAAAATCAAATAAGAATTTATAAACATAAAAATGTAGATAAAACGATGTGATGCAATTTTAGCAATATTCTCCATTGTAAATGGTAAACAAGATTAAATTTATCGTGAAAATTGAAGATATTCTCCGCGGTACAATTTATTGCTAATATACAGGATCATCGGAGGTCCCACGTTTAATGTGTATGAGGAAGATAGAGTACACATTAAAAGCTGGAGCTCAATGATTTGCAGCCGACCTGCCTATAAAGCCATTAACTAC